GTTTTTTTTTTTTTCAGTGTTTTTTGGCAATTGGAAGATTTTGTTTGGGACGTTTGCTGCTTTTGTGACATGTATGATTGAGATTTGCTTGATTTTGTTGTCAACTGGCAATTTATCCTGGATTTGATTGATGCTCGAATGCTGGTGTACTTAGCTTGATAAGTTATAATGAAACAGCAGGTGCATTAGCATTCTATAGTCTTTGTTGGACGAAAACAAAACTGTAGTAAAAGGCCAAAGGAAATCAAGGGCATTTGTTGAAGCTCTGACCTTTTTGCAGGGACACATTATGAAATCACAAAACAATTCACGTTTGGAGCTGATTATAAACAAATAAGCAAGCTCCTAATGCGCACCCTCGTCATCATCGCTTGAGTCGAAACCTGGGAATTCCAAGTGGGGAATTTTGAGGCCAGGAAGGGATGTTGACTCGAATACCCGGTTTTGGTTCTCTGACATGTCTCTTATCATATCCTGCAAATTGTTATTATTATCATTGAGATGACGACTCCTTTTGAAGAATCCTCCTATGAATTTGAAGGGATTGGTGAGGCCGTCTTTGATTTTGAGCATGAGGGACACCTCCGAAAGCTGCCAGGCGACCGTGAGCACAATCATCCCCGACAAAAGCCACTGTGTTGTCACATTCTGCTTCTTTATGACTCTAATCTCCTTCATTATTGTTTCTGAATTTCCAATTTCCTCTGAGTTGGCTTTGTCTTTTTCTTCTTCCATTGATTCCAACTGGTAATGAACACAAAAATGTCAGAAATTGCAAAATTTAGTTTAAGTTTGTGCGAGAAAGTTAATAAATATGCGTACATCAGAGAGTAGGTCGGAGAGGAATCGCCGGCGGCGGGTGGCTTTAGCAGAAGCTTGGTCTTCATGTAAGGCTTTTGGAGAAGTCGATGTGTTGCCTTTAGCAGCAGCATCTTCTTCTTCCTCCTTCTCCATTAGGTTTCTTATGGCTTTCTCAATAATCTTCACTTTCTTGTCGGACTCCATTCTCTCTCTCTCTCTACTTGTATCTGTTAATGGATTTATTGATGAAAGTATGAATAAAAACCAATTGAAATCGTAGCGTGCATCTAAACTGGTGGTGCTATTGACACGTCACAGTAATGATCTTGACACCTATGTTGACTCGTTTTTTTAGAATTTGCCTTGGAAAACTAGAGAGATTTTTTTT